TACAAAGGACGTAGACTTAGTTCCATAAACTTAGTTGATAAAGCAGTGTCAGGGTTTGAGAGAACTGACGCCAATTATGATAGAAGTACTGCTACGGGTAAATGCTATCAAACAGCATCACATGCTACACAGAAATCTTTCTAAAAGGAAGAGTCAATCAATGTGGCAAACTTCTGTTGTCTTAAGATATTGCCAGAGCTACCCCAACCTTCAGCAACTACCACCCTGATCAATCAGTAGCCATTAACATAGAGGGAAAACCCTCCACCAACAAAAAGATTATGACTTGCTAAAGACTCAGATGACAATCAATGTTTTTAAAGTAATAAAGTATTTTAAAATTCAGGTATGTACATTTTTAGACAAAATGCCATTGCAGACTTATAGACTAGAGTAGTATAGTATAAACATAATTTTTGTATGCACCAGGAAATGAAAAAATTTGTGTGACACACTTTATTGCAATATTCACTTCAATATGGCAGTGTGCAAACAGACCTGCAATATCTCTGAAGTATGCCTGCAGAAACATACAAATATTTTGAAAGGAAATGGATAGAAAAACACATATTATTAAACAGTAACACAACAAGCCTGGAATGTTTAAATCAATCATATAAACAGACTTTATAATGTGAAGCATTTTCAGTAAGAAAAAGATTTCATAAAGATAAACATTAGAAAATCCATCTTCATGGATTGTGAGATTTAGTATTGCTGAAACTGATGTAAGCATTCAACCTAATCCCCTTCAAAATCCCACCAGGCTTTTCTTTTTCCTTTTTATTTCTTTGGTAGTATCTAAAAGTTGATTCTAAAATTTATATAGAAATGCAAAGAACACAGCATATCTATATTAAGCTTAAAAAATAACAGAGTTTGAAGACTTACATTATAATCAAAGAAACACTAAAGAAACTCCAGAAATAAATCCATATAGATATGTTGGTCAAGCAATCCAATGGGAGAAAAGAGTGTCTTTCAACAAATTGTTCTGTAATAAGTAGATATCAGTAAGTAAAAATTGAAGGTGGCTTCAACTCATACAATAAATGGAATTTAATTTGACCAGATAAATAGAACTAAATACAAACACTAAAGTGATAAGGCTTCCAGTAGAAAACACAAGACCACATCATGATGACTTGGGAGTAGCCAAAGGTTTCTTAGGACACAGAAAGGCAATAAACATAAAAGAAAAAATTTGGATAAATTAGATTTCATCAGAAATTTAAAATTTCTCATTAAAAGATACTGCTAAGACAATGAACAGGTAAGCCACAAACTGAGAGAAAAATATGTGAAAAATATGTGTTTGACAAAGGACTATTATCACAAGATATGTAAGGAACGATGAACTGGTAATAAAAGTCAGCACCTCTGCCTGCAAAAAAAATTGGGTAAAGGATTTGAAGAGACACTTTTCAGAGTAAGATACATAAATGGCCAATCAGTACATTACAAAGTGCTCAACATTATCAGTCATCAGGGAAATACACACTCCAACTGTTGTCAGAAAATATCCACTAGAATGGCTAAAAGAGTAAAAATGACAATGCCAAATGCTGATGAGGCTGTGGAGCAACTGGAACTCTAATACACTGTTGGTGGAAGTATAAAATGTTATAACTTCTTTGGAAAAAAAAAAGTCTTACCCTTTCTCTAAATACCAAACACATACCTAACTCTATGACCCAACAATTTTAATTCACTGCCATCTGTGTAAGAAAAATGAAAGCATTTATCCTTACAGACTTGTTCAATAATAATATTCACAGCAGGTTTATTCATAATACCTCAGAAACTGGTGACAGTCCCAATATTCACCAAAATGAGAATGTATAAACTGGTATGTTCACGCAAGTCTGTTCTTTCTTTTATGTAGAAGTATTTTAAATATTTGAAGACTTATATTTCACAGCTTCTTCTCTTTAATGGTCAAACACCTCAAGTTCATCTCAGCAGTTATTACGAGAAATGTTTTTATTATGAGAAATGTTTTCCTTCCACACAAATGTTTTTATTATGAGAAATGTTTTCCTTCCATACAACTGCCCCCCCTCCCATTACTCTCCTTTAGACATGCTTTACTGTGTCAATGTCCCATCTATAGGATGATGCATTAATACCAAAAAAAATTCCTAATCAGTCACATCACAATACTGGCTCCTAAGAAATTCACAGGCAAATAGAAATCTCAAAATCACTCTAATGTAAGGTATTATTAATCTACATTTTTCTCATTATCAATCATACCAATTGCACTACTGGCCCACAGTTCTTCATAATGTATTTAAAAAAATAGCTGAGCATAGTGGTGCGCCTATAGTCCCAGCTACATGGGAGGCTGAGGCAGAGAGATGGCTTGAGGCCAATCAAGGCTGCAGTGCACTATGATCATGCCTGTGATTAGCCACTGCACTTCAGCCTGGGCAACATAGAAAATCTAGAAAGTTAACTTCAATTAATGTTAAACTTGCTAATCTAGTAAGAACCCAAGCTTAACCAGTCCAGTTCCTTACATGGTTAGTGCTCAAGAATGATAACCCTTAAAATACAATGTACTGTGTATTAACCCTGCATCTTGAGTTTCCAATTCTAATCCACTGTACATGGCACCACCATCTGGATCTTAAAACACCCTTTTAACTCATCACCCTAGAGCCAAAAAACTATCAACCATTCCTTTATAACTCTAGAAGTCTAAGACTCTATATGAGCCTACTTTTCTAATCCAACTGTCTATGATTCCTCTTTAATAGACCTTAATCCTTGAATATTTTAAGCAGTGTTTTTTCCCCCTTGTACACTGGTACTTCTGCTGCCTTTGAGTCCTTGAGTATTATCATAATCATAGTCCTATTTTTCCTTTAACACTCAGCTTTCTCTCTAAAGTCCTTGAATGTAACTAGAGGGGGTTTTTGTTTTGTTTTTTTAAACTTCTGTACTTTCTGTCTGAGTCACTCATTTGGAAACTAGTGTATATCATCTTAAATTATTTGTTCATTTATTTGCTTATTTGTTTTACAAAATGTTCTGTCTCCCTGAACACAGATCACATCAGTCTCCAGAGCCCCGCTCTGGACCCAGTTTGGTATAGTACTTGATGTACAGGCCCTTGATGTTGGTTGCTGATTTTGTCAGGTGATAAAGGGCAGGAAGGAAGACTTTCAGTCTCTGAATATTCATCTTGACTACCAGTCACAGGAGAGGAGGGGTGTCTGCCAGCCAGAAAAAGGCTTGAGGCTTATATTAACATATTTTGTCAAGAGGCTTTCTGACACTCATGCTCCCACCTCCCAGAGAGCCCAGGAAATCCAGCACAAATGGGATATTCCTCTCTACTGCTGGGTAGCTGGGAACAGCGGCTGTGGTTGCTGAGCAGTTGCCCAGGGCAGCTTGGCCACCCTGGAGAACCAAGAAAAGAGGGGAAATAAAGGGTTTTCCTAGGCATGCAAGTAATCACTTGAATGTTAAAAGAAAACTAGGCTTGTTATGTTCACAGTAGATTTCCTCAATTAGAAATGTTACAACAAATTTGTCTGAAGTTAATGGAAAGCATACTTACATACATATTCATAAAGTGAACATGCATCAAAGACATTTTAAAGGGTGTTCTTTGACATCATAATTTGGGTTTGTAACATAAAGAAAACAAACAGTGATTAATCAACTAAGTAAGCTTTAGGGACTTTGTATGTTGACTAATGATGTGTGACTTTTTCTAAGAAAAAATAGATTTTTAATCTATTTTAATCCCCCCCATAAACATTTTAATCCCTATTAGGTTTCCAAGCCAACTTGATTTTCCAAGGGGTATATAAAAATGTTAAATTGTTCTTTTGTAATATATGCTATATAGGCATATATCTTACCATATTTTCTAAGTATCCTAGAGTAGAGAAACTTAATACTAGGGCCCACAGGGTTCATAGATCCCTTGGATCCACAGAATGGCCTCAGAATGTCTCTGGACAACCTGAAACTATAGGCAAAATTTGTGAATGTGTTTAGAGAAAAAGGGTTTATGGTTTTCATCAGATTCTCAAAGGGGTCTGTGACCTAAAAAAGATTACAACTACTTCTTAGAGATGATTTGAACCACCATCCTTGCCTATAGATATTAACAAGGAGTAGAACTGTGTAATTAAGGTATAGATTTAAAACAGAGCTTAGCCATTTTCAGGTTATACATTTCAACCAACTTAATCCAAAACTTACTTCACAATTCTACATGTAGATGCTAACTTAATCTTCTTGCTTTCTTATCTATGGATATTAGATTAAATTGTGTGAAACTGCTGTTTTTTTAGTGAAAAGAGTCAAATATTGGCAAATATATTCAATACATTGCAATACATTTCTGGTTTTTAGGTAGATGCTGTTTACAGAGGATATTCTGTATGCTAAAAGTGGTGCACAGTTCTTATATAAAGCCTTAAAATTGGCAAGAAAGCTTTACAGTTCCTGTAGTAAAACCAGATCAGAAAAGAATATCATTTTCACATAGTAAGGGCAATCTAAAAACTGAAGATGAATGAAGACAAGGTTCTTTAAATCATGTTTACAGATGAATCAATAATTGAAATGAAAAGATGTCAATAAATTCCAGGAATAATTATGTGAATTATTATATTATGTGAATAATAACACTCTTATCTTTTGAGGTACAAAGAAATAAATGACTTTTCCAACATTACCTAAACCAGTTTTTCATCTCCCATGCAAATAAGAAATGCCCTGTAACCATTCCTTTCATTGATGGGCTAGGAAAGCTAAGCGAAGCAAGGAAAAGTGAAAAAATTATTGTCTTAAGTGGACTCTCAGGGCCTGGCATATAGTAGGTTCTCAATTAAATACTTATTTGAATATTTAATATATTAAGATTCTTTGAAGGCTATTCATTCCTGCATAATCTTTTTTAAATAACTGCTAATGTAAATACCAGATTTGTGACAAAATTCACACGTGTTAAAGACAGATTTTTTTTTTGTACTTACCTCAGCAGAGTTGTGATACTGAATGAAGGTTGCAGAAATGGCATGGCTGAAGGGGTCCCCTGCCTTAGTTACCATGTCTTGCCTCACAAGAAGAGCCAGATCCACTAACTAGAAGACCAGAACAATGAAATGAAGTCACATAGCTAGAAATAATCATGAAAGCCACTAAAGTGGCAAACCTAAAAGCAATATATTCTAAATGTTACTGATAATCCTGTGCCTAAAAACCTATATTGTAGACAGGAGCACACACTTTCATTGACTGGTGAATGGACTTAGTCATGAATACACATGATATGTTCTGACGTTATAGGAGAGTAGTTCTCAAAATTTATTTCATAATCACTAGGGCAGATATCTGTGCTGTAAGTCCAGAGATTTTAATTCAGTAGGTCTGTTTTAAGTGTATAGTCTAGGAATTTGCATTTTATTTTATTTTATTTTTTTGACACAGAGTTTTGCTCTTGTTGCCCAGACTGGAGTGCAGTAACATGATCTCGGCTCACTGCAACCTCTGCCTCCTGGGTTCAAGTGATTCTCCTGCCTCAGCCTCCCAGAGTAGCTGGGACTACAGGTGCCCGCCAACACGCCTGGCTAATTTTTTTTTTTTTTTGTATTTTTAGTAGAGACGTGGTTTCACCATGTTGACCAGGCTGGTCTTGAACTCCTGACCTCAGGTGATCCACCCACCTTGGCCTCCCAAAATACTGGTATTAAAGGCATGAGCCACCACGCCAGGCCAAAGTTAGCATTTTAAACAAGAACCAAGGAGATGCTGATGCTTGTGATCTAAAGAACACATCTTGAGAAAGTCTTTTAGAGGACAGTGATTTCAGACCCAGAATTTGGTAAGCACTCATAAGATCTCACATATGCAGAAAGGTGTTTTTCAAAGCTCAAAAATAATCTCTAAATAAGGCAGATGTGCCTGTAAAGAGTTCAATGTAAGAAAAAGTATGCAGGGATTCCATTTCTCATTAGGATAAAAGAAACTGTCTTTTTTTTTTTATCTGAACACCCACTTGAATTGAGGATGCAGAGACACATAAATGAACTAAATTTTAGAAAATGATGTAAATGTCACAGGAGAGAATTCATGGCTGTTATTCCTGTTAGAGCAGCAGGTAGAACTGATCATGGACAAAGATAAGGAAAAACACCCAGCCTGTGTGGCCCAATATGACAGATTAGAATTCTTACCTGTGCCACAGTTTCATACGCTAAATATGCTAAAATTTCCATAGCGACAACATTGGGTTTTATCTCCATACTGCTGCAGTCCAACCAGTCTCGGAATTTGGAAGCTTTTTTGGCTAGCCATTAAAAAAAAACAAGTGTAGAAATTTTAATTTTTAAAGTGTTTTAATACTACACATCACTATCACAAAATAAAAAATATATACTCAGAATTATACACAAAAAATAATGCACATAAAATGCAATATGTTCAAACTTTTATTAATGTCTAGATATTCTGGCCCCAAGAAATCCAAGTTTTAACTTTCAACTATAAAGCAACACAATGGTTGTTTTAAACAACTTTCTTATGCATTTGGATCTTTTATTTTATAACTATGCTATATGACATAGTATATAAAACCATTTAATGTTTAATACTTTTCACATTGTGTCAGATTTACCACTGGCTATAGCTTATGTTACAACAAGTGTCAGAAATGTACTTGTCTGATGTAACCTTAATTTACATTAAGCAGTGGTAGCAGAGATGGTGGGAGTGAGAATGGCTTTTTGGGCTGTGGGCTGCATGGGAGCTGGGTGAGGCCTGTGGCTGCTGGCTTTCTTCCACTTCCCTGGCTCCCCGCATGAGGCAACAGAGGCAGCCATAATCCCCTTGGGAACATAACTCCATCCATCTAGGAGCCACACCCTCATCCCCCATAGCAGCCATAGCAAGTCTCGCCCAAGAAAAGTCTGAGCTCAGAAATGCCTAACCCTGCCTTCACCTGATGGAAAGCTAAATATCGTATGCTCTGACTTGTAAGTGGGAGCTAGTCTATGAGGATGCAAAGGCATCTGGGGACTCAGAGTAAAGGGTGGGAAGTGGGTGAGGGATCAAAGACTGCCCATTGGGTACAGTGTACACACAGCTTGGGTGATGGGTACACCAAAATCACAGAAATCATTACTAAAGAATGATTTCTTAGTTACTTATTCATGTAACTAAGCACCATCAGTTCCCCCAAAAACCTACTGAGATAAATACGTTAAAAAAAGTATCTATTATTAGAATAGTTCAAGGTTGTAAATTGAAAATTAAATAAAATTAACTGACATCTAGTCTAATCTAAGCCTGTGGTTACATTTTTTCTGATTATAAAGATGCCTAAATTCTTAAACCTGACTCTCAAAACCATCCAGCCTGATTCCAAACAGCCTTTATGCTATTTCCCTATTAAGCCATCACCTGGCCTTGAGTCTTATCCTCTGTGTGTCTACCCCTACTCCTTTCCTTCCATGGAATGAATGTATTCCCTTCACTCTTCTTCATTCATATGAATCTTGATCATATGGGCCAAAGATATACTTCCCCACTCTAACCATTTATTGAACACTGATCTCATCAGATGTTCTTCCAGAAATGTTTATAATTTCTTAATCCATATTACAAGATTTTTTTTTGTGGGAGAAGACCATGCCTTATGTCTCTGTATGTGTAACAGTACCAAGCATATACAGAACTAAGCACCTATGTAGCCTTTAGTTAAATATCTCTGCACTACCACAGTGCTAAGCAGAGTCTAATTTGATAAAGGGACTTCATTAGAAATTTAACCTAGTTAAATTAATTGATAGTGGAAGATTGATAGTAAAGATTTTATTAAATTTCTAAGATCCTTTTTTATAATCCACTGATTGTTCTTTTGATTAATGCGGCCCCCACAGGTCTATAAAACACTTAACAGTAACTCAAAGCGCGATGTTTTGATCATTCTATATAGAATCTTCAAGGATTCCACATACAGAAGAGTTTTCCTTCAAATAAATCACAGAAAACATTAAGTACTGCTATCGAAGCACATACTCAAAGCTGTCAAATATGTTAGAATTATGATAATCCCCCTTAAAGCTATCTCCCCAAAGTAACAAATCTTCCAAATACTTTCTGACATGCAACATTCCATCTAACTAGTATTCTGCAATAGCTCACAAACACTTGTTTAACATCTGTGGAATACTTCTGAAGTTAAAGGTAACAGTCAGCAATTTGGCAAGATCAATAAGCTGTATATTATTCACTTCTCTCCTTGACAGATCTTTAGGACAGAAATGGATATTTTGTGACTCTGCTCTAAACAGCTAATTTTAAAAGTGAGGGAAAGGATCATTATTAATATTCAGTCAGATCTATCCACATAAGCAACAGAATTAGCTTCCTTGCTAGGTTGTAAGCACTGAGAATGCAGGGACAAGGACCATGCATCTCTCACTGCATCCCTATCACCTGCCTGGGCATTAGCAGACTCATAAGAAATATTTTCAGAAGAAATAAATGAATGAATGAATAAAGTACTTTTAAAATAAAAGAGTAGGGTCCAATATTTTCTATTCATCAAAAGACATGCATAGAGGGCCCATAAACCACTTGGGTTATTGCTATTCCACCAAGAGGTGGAACTTCTTTGAGCTAATTCCTTCCCTGTCACCTGGAGAAGGATGGCTTCAGAGTCTGACCCTTCCAAGGTATTGTTGGTTCCAGCAAAAGAGGCATATATACCTCTAGTTATAACAGTTTGTTTTCATCAAGAGGTGAGAGGGGCCCTCAGAATAAACTAATTCCTTCTCCTTCACCCCTCTTCCCAATATATCAGGAGAAAGAATAACCTGGAAATTGGCTAGCAATTTAAATAGAATCCTGAGCAATGGTCAAAAGTTCCTAGGATTATCAGCTTTCTAATACTATCTGGATTTTCATCCTGTGCTGACCTTAAAAAACAACTTTAATGATAATTTCATATGGAAATTTAAGGTTAATCTCACATACTTTTTATCTTTCTTATCGATGATCACTAACAACATTTAAGTTTCTTGCAATATTCCATTCTCTCATGCCTACATACTGTTCGGTGATTTCTACCCCATCCCTTCCCAACAGTCCTTCCACTTCCAATCCTTCCTTTAGGGTCCTCCGGAATGCTCATTCCACTCAAAAGAAACTACTCTGCAACTTCATCCTAGTTAAAAATAGCCTTCTTCAGAGGGCATGGTTTTTCCCAGAACCTTGCCTAGCAGGAGTACCTTATTCCTATACTTTATACATATTTATGGGCAACTACTGTTGGCCAGTGTGTTTATTTTCCCTTATAATGGGGGACCTGGGACCAATGTCTTCATTCTCTTAGTTTTGTCCCTAGGGAAAACACATAACAAGCAGACTGACAGAAAAATTCTACTAACAACAGGAGCCAAAATACAAGGGAATTATGTTTTAATAAGTAACTACTATGAGCTTACAACTTCCTACCCAACTAAACAATCATTTAAGTATAGGGGCAAAATAAAGCTATTTAAGAAACAAATGGGGAGAAATGCCAAATGTGGGTGAAGGGGAGAAGAAAAGCAAAGCACACTGCCATGTGTGTACCTACGCAACTGTCTTGCATGCTCTGCTCATGTACCCCAAAACCTATAATCCAATAAAAAATAAAAAATAAAAAAAATAAAAAAATAAAAAAAATGAGATAAAATGCACAGCTATTACAACAGAATTAATATAGCTGATTCTGATTGATGCATATTTATGATTCACAAGAGAAGAAAACATCATATGCTATATTATATTTGATTTTCTTTTAATTTGGCATTATTCTAAAAAGACTTTCCCAAAAACAATTTTTCTAATTCCCTACTAGTCCATGTGAAAAGAATGTGAGATCTAGATTTGAGAAAACGGGAATAATTACTAGTTCTAACATTATTGTTAGAATTAAGTATATAATGTTTCAAAAATATCCTGTGTTGCAAATGATAGTGTACAAATTCATTATCATTACTAGTAATATTACTGAAACACAAATTATGTGACACATAAAAATAGATGATTTTGCTGCTCACAAAGTGTTTTAAGAAGCTCACCATAATCTGTGCTACTTGACTCTGTTGTTTATAAAATGTTGTTTAATCAATTAAAATTGATTTGTAAACTGTAAAAAAAAAAAAAAAAAAAAAAAAAAAACAAATAAGTGTTTTAACCATGCACAGAGCTGCAGAAAAAAAGGACATTAGGCCAAGAAGGAAAATTTAATTACTTATCACTTTTACCAATTGATCTAATATAACAACATAGAAAAGAAGGAGAAAAAGCAATTTAAAAAGCACAGTAAATTTAAAACACAAGACAGCATATACAAACCCAAATGTATCAGTAATGAAATACATGTAAATTGAACTAATCAATTAATATACACAGAGCCTCTCTGATTGATTAAAAAGAAAATCTAGATAAAACCAAACATAAAATAAAAAGTTGAAAGTAAAGGACTGGAAAATAATTTACCAATTATATATTCTAATTATAAACTTTAATAATTTAAATTATAATTATTCTTTAATTATAACTGTGAGCTTTGTGTGTCAATATTAATAACAGATTTTAAAAGACTTTAAGAGAAATGACTCTCTGACTTACATATATATAAACAAAAGACTGAATTGTAAATTAGATTAGTGTGCTGATGCTACAGCTTACCCTCAGCCTATAAGGTTACAGACTCATATTTTAAAATGTACTGTAATTCCAGGGATGGCTATGATCAAATACTTAAGAAGATACATACGGCAGAACCACAATTCCTGTATCTTGGTAACTTACTAGAAGGAGAAGAAGGAAAAAAGCATAACACTCTGACAAGTTCAGGAATAGCTTCTGAATTTGCTGACCCATGTGGAGTAAACCATTCTAAACCACAGTATTCTGTCATATAAAACAGATTCCCCACCAAGGTTTGATAATAAAGCACCTTTGGGTACCATATAAATAGTTTTAAATGACCAAATCCTTCCACTCTAAATAAAACTAAGCATAATATACTGTTTATACTGTCGTTTTTTTAATACAGAAAGGGAAAATATTATTTTTTAATCTACTATAGTTTCTTGTTGAGTTAAAAACAAAACATGAGCGAGGTGATATGGCTCACGCCTGTAATCATAACACTCTGGGAGGCCAAGGCAGTAGATCACCTGAGGTTAGGAGTTTAAGACCAGCCTGGCCAACACAGTGAAACCCGTTTCCACTACAAATATAAAAATTAGCTGGGCGTGGTAATGCATGCCTGTAGTCCCAGCTACTCGGGAGGCTGAGGCAAGAGAATCACTTGAAACCAGGAAGCAGAGGCTGCAGTGAGCTGAGATCACTTCACTGCACTCCAGTCCAGACTGGTCAACAAAGTGAGACTCCATCTCAAAACACCAATAATAACAAATGAAACAAACAAACAAACAAAAAACATGAAGTAAGTGAAAATCTGATTTTCAAAGAGAAGCTTTATTAGGAGACTTTAAGTCTATGAGTTTTAGTGCTAAAGTAGTATGTCTGTTCCTTTAAGAGAATTAAATTTAAAATATGATTTAAAAAAATAGTTCAATTGCACTAAATGATACTTTATAAACTGGAGGTTCATACTTTTAAAGACTTGAATGCCATTTTTAAACCTAAAAATTACAATATAAAACCTTTCATTTGCTGAAATTGCCATGATCTGAAGTGCCATTTACTTAATGCTTCACAGATGTATGATGCCAAGTTGTTAGTCAAATTGGAAAGTATATTTAGTTAGAAAAAAAAAATCTTCCAAAACATGTTTTCCTATATTTTACTGACATTTACATGGGATACTATTTGAAATGTGTCATTTATTTGCACTTTATAATCTATAAATGAAGCTCTCCCTTTCTTTTTCCAAATCAAATATGCTGTTATTATGACCACATAATAGTTTTTCATTTAAAGACACCATTGTTTCTATAATTGTTTCTGCCATGGTCATGTGCTACTTTGTCATATTTTTAACTGGACTTTTCATCACACTTTCTTCTTTGACCTTTACCCCGAGAGCCTTAGTCATAACTGATTTGCTGTAAGGGTGTTTTGCTACACAATTGTAGCTCGCTATTATGAGTTGTTATACACTTTTAATAAGCTTTTAATGTGCAGTGATGTGAAAGTGCTAATTTTACCATGAGGTTACTGGTGTTACTAGGGCATGTACTAATAAATTTGGCTAACACTGAATACATGCCAAAGTAGGAGGTTAGACAAAAATGGAAGAGACCACTGATATGTTCCTTTGTGGTAATATGAGTATGCATAAAGAAAAAGTTTTGAATCTATAACTAATACTGGGAGCCTTTAAATGTCATGACTACTATTAGAGTCTATTATGGATCAAATGCAATCAGAAATACTAGTGTAAATATGACTAAAAAGTTAGAAAACAAAGCAGTAGAACGTATACTCCCCACAATGCAGAAGTTGTTTCTGTAACAGTTATAACTACACATATTTTAAATCCACCAATTTCTAAGAAACACATCCTGTCATACTTTAGTACATCTATAACATAAATCTCTTGTGCATATAATTAAGAAAAGTTAAATGCATACTTACAGAAACTTAATTGTCGACTTTCACAGAATTCTGCATATTGAGCTGAATCCATAATTCGAGTTTGTCTTTCTGCTCTCTAATAGATAAAAAGACACAAAAAATTTTTTAAAAATCAAGTAAACTGTTGTATATGTTTTCACAGCTTAAACTCAGAATTAAAGTACCATTTTCCTTTTCTTATTCTAGGTCAACAGGTTACTACTACCACATAGATCATAGTTCATAAAATTATGATAACCTATACTAGTTGTGAAGCTGGTGTCCTTTGGAAATAAAGTTTAAAATACTATTTTCTGCTCCTCTGTTACTAATACTAAAACTATAGGACCTCACTTCTAAATTTTCTAACTTGTATCATCTTTTAAAGAAAAAGAAAATGATGAGGGAATAATAAACCAAAAAGAAAAACAGTTAAAAATATTATTGTCAATCCACTTTAAAGCTATGATTTTCAATGTTAAACAAGAATCAGAAAATCAAATCCATATATTCCCTTTCAGTTAGAATCTGGGGCTAAAGTTGACAAATCCATATTTTAGATTGCAAGAAAATAAAGAAAAAGGTAAACACAATACATATCCTTTAATCTGAGTCCAGGTATGATTCACAGTTTGGTATAGTTTCATTTGTGGAATTTTTGATACAGTATAGCAGATGTTTGCTGCTTCATTGTCCCACAAGAGGTAGGATAATTATAATTCATCCATAGTTTGGTGGGAAAGAATATGACCACTTCCACTTCCTTGGTAAGGGGAGCATTTTGAAATGAGACAGGCTGGTACTTCTTGGAATGAAATTCTGCCCAGTGAAGAAAAAAAAAATTCCGGGTATTTAAATTTTTTTTCTGTTGTGGAAGAATTTTCAGCAAGTTATCTTCACCACTGTTGATGCAGCACGTAAGTGCCATTTCTTCTAATGTCTGTGGATATTTTTGTATTTTGAAACAGAAATTACTCTCTTTTCTTTTATTTGCGTGAGTAGTCAATTTCAATGATATGTCAGTTGATGGAATGAATAATGGTGTACTAACTGGGGCTTAACAGAGAATACTGGGGCAGCAGGAGTTAAGGTAAAAATTACTAGTCACTACAGTGGTCCCTTCTAAGACCACTGACTGTTTTTCCCCTTACTTTATTTTCCTTCTCCCTTTTTTCTTTCCTCTCGCCCTTCCTTCATTCCTTACCTCCCGCACATCCACATACTCACATATGTACATATATGCAGGCACAAACACAGGCCTCTACTCGTTATTTACCAACTAGGTTCAAGTATTCTTTATGGGCACGTACAAACATTTCATATATACATGAGGTATACTTGTATGTGTACATACATACAAAGATAAATATATAAATTATATATGTACACATATATACATATACATTTATCTTATGTGTATATATATACATACACACACAAACACACATATATGTATATATGTATGTAAATATCTTCTTGTTCATGTGTCAGAAATACCACATCTTGGCCGGTACAGGGGTTCACACCTGTAATCCCAGCACTTGGGAGGCCAAGGAGATGGATCACTTGAGATCAGCAGTTCGACACCAGCCTGGCCAACATGGTGAAACCTTGTCTCTTCTGAAAATACAAAAATTAGCTGGGTGTGATGGCGCAGGCCTGTAATCCCAGCTACTCGGGAGGCTGAGGCAGGAGAATTGCTCGAATCCAGGAAGCAGAGGTTGCAGTGCACTGAGATTGTGCCACTGCACTCCAGCCTGGGTGACAGAGCAAGACTCCCATCTCAAAACAAACAAACAGACAAACAAAAAAGAAATACCCTGTATCCTTAAGAGATATTATTGGTTTAATTAATTTTTATTTACTTGGAATTTTTTTTGAAATATAAATGCATGATCTAGTTTTTTTTTCCTCTTTTTAATGTATCTTATACATAATAAATGTTTCCTGATGAAAACAGGAAGCAAGGAAGGGAGAATTTATTTATATGTTTTGAACATTATAAAAAAGTTACTATTGTGTTTATTTAAAAAAACTCTCCAGGACTGATAACAATATCATTAATTTGTATCTATGTACATATGTTTGTATATATATCGGTTTATCTGTGTCTCACTATAGCAGGAACCACTCAAGTTTGAATTTCTAGCTCCTAGGAAAATATCTAACACATGGCAAATAAGCAATAAACATTTGTCAGATGAACAAATGCTACTGTTTTATTATACAAGGCAAATGACTATCACCATAATGGAACTAGATCAAGAATGATTATCTAATCATTCCTACATATCATCTCTGCTACTATTCAGCTTAGTAGTCTCCTTCACCTAATGTATGGCTAGACAGAAAGGACTTGGATAACTATGGGAAAAGAAAGTTCCTAAAGAGATTCTTTACGCTAACTTTTTCTTCCACCAAGTCAGATAACCAAAATTTGGCCTCTATAAATATGCTTGGATAGCTGAAATATCTGCAATAAGTGTTTCTGGAAATGAGAGTTAGGAAAACTTATCTTCAGAGGTTAAGGTTTCCAGATTTGCCAGCTACAATATTTCAAAGATATCCATAAACATCTGAAAGCCTAAATTATGGCCTGCTTCATTCCTTTCAGATACCCTCTCCAATGCCTATTCGCTTTTCTTCATTAAGCGTCCTATTTCTTTTTGAATTCCTCCAGCATCAAAGCGGTAAACTTTGATCTGAGGACTCCACAAAGATGACCCCAGGGCATATATAAGAAGCCATTTATCCTGTGGCTAGCACACAGCAAACACTCCATGCAAAGCAGCTGACTCAGCAGCAAAGACTCATAGACAATACAGAATCACAGCTTAGTGATAGAGGGCAGCTTAAAGTTTAACTTGTTCAAACCTCTTCAATTCAAAAATAAGGAAACTGAGGCTCAGAGAAGTGATTTGTCAAAGGTGACTAAGTTAGCATTGAAGCCCAGGACTCCCAATTCCTAAGTCAGCCTATTTTCATTATAAAAAGCTGTCTTCAACTGATGGTACTTTATTCCAATGTTTTCCTTTGGGATGCTCTAAATATCACACATTGTCTTACTAAAACATGTCATGTAGCCCTACAATTAATACGCTCAAACTGTTCATAAGAAAAAAAATTAGCAAGGGCCTGGGTCAGCAAAGAATGTACAACCTGGGGGTAATCTAATGCAGAGTGTACAAACTGTAGTGTATCTGATAGTGCAAGCATGTTGCAGGTGTGTAGAGATACTTATTCCATTCACTTTCTGGATGCTGAACAAGGCTGAGGCAGCAGAACTCCTAGGCTGGTATCTGGCTACAAGCTGCCTTGTCTATTTACCTTGGTGGGTGATAAAAATATTACCATTTTCTATGTGTGCCATGATGTGAGAAAGACTGGAAGCACTGTACTAATACTAACACTGAATATTATATGACACAGCACATGAATACTATTCACAGCATGGTCAAGGGAGTTCATGAAATCAGAGATTCTTTGAGCTATATATGCACTGACTTTGAGGACAATGGAAGTGATTTGGGTATGTTTATCACCTAATTTTTGTTTATTCCTCTCTCTTCCCCCTGAATTGTTTCAAAAAAACAAAAAAGGGAACACACTTTGGCCATATGATCCAAATAATTCATCACCTGAGAATTATATTCTCTCTTGTCCTTCCACTATCATCTTAAATACTGAGAAAGGGAGAGAATATCTAACTTTCATGAACTGTATGTTCTTTAAATAGAGAAGCTGTACTTCTCTTCTAGAATCTCAGTGTTGACCCACGGTTTGCTTAGATTTGTCTTTGCCTAACAAACTAAATCAAGGGAGAGACAAATGGATAGACTAAGACAAAAGAAATGCATTTAAATATGTGTGGCTGGCCTAAGACTAGAAACTGTAAGAATTAGGACCAAATTGTAATCCAATTGTATGAATCCCAGAAGACGAGGCAGTTTTCAAGACAAAAATCCATTAAAAAAAAATGAAGCAGTGGTCAACTATTAAATAAGTGTGGCTCTTATTTTCTGTGGTGCCCCAATTCTAGCTTTTTCTCTGCCTCTATTTAGATCACCCATTCTGATCTATACCAAAGTATACATTGGTAGTCCTTTTCTATTCCTGGTACTTTAAGAAATCTGTGGTAAAAGATTCAAGGGGACAATATCACAAGCCTAGTAAAACATCATGATCAGAATAATGCTTACTCATTATTGAGAGCAGTACAATAACCTTTACAGCATAGTTTTATTAGTTTCATTTTACAATTGAGGACACTGATTTAGAGAACTTTAAGGAAAACTTTAAAAGAATACAGTTAATAAAGGGGCAAAACTAGAAGTAAAACTTGGGTCCTAAATACCCACTCTAAGGTATACAAAGTTTTTCAGAAAAGAGTTACTACTCTACATCACATTAACTGTAATAAAGACTATGCTCCCTTTAGGCTCTAGTTTCTTTTGAACTAAATATTAGAATGAACACTTTTTGTTTGTTTGTTTAAGATAGAGTTTTGCTCTGTCATCCAGGCTGGAGTGCAGTGGCAGGATCCTTCAGCTCACTGCAAACTCCACCTCCTGGGTTCAACCAATTCTCCTGCCTCAGCCTCCTGAGTAGCTGGGATTATAGGCGTGCACCACCATGCCTGGCTAATTTTTGTATTTTTAGTAGAGACCGAGTTTCACCATGTTGGTTAGGCTGGTCTCAAACTCCTGACCTCATGATCTGCCTGCCTTGGCCTCCCAAAGTGCTGGGATCACAGGCGTGAGCCACTGTGGCCCACAAACTTAATTTGAAAAGAGTTACTTTAAAGTTAAAAAATTCATTTGACTATTCCATATAGTCATGAAACTAGATTTAAAAAGACATCATATCCTTGTAAAAGGCATTGAAAACACAAATCTCTGAAATAAAAGTTACCGAATAATCACAGATGATTTATCACGGCTTTTATTCATACTGAACATTCTCAAATTACACAATGCTCTCCTATCTCAGATGGCCACATGAAGGTCATCTGTGGATTAGTCATACTCTTGTATCTGCAAGTCCAGCTTGTCTTCGGCTTAATCTGCCAATTCTACCCACTCCCTGGTTTCTTTAGGT